CTCGCAATAATTAAATGTGTCATCCCTAAGTCAAACAACACATCACAGAAGTATCCCCAACGTGAATTATACCTCTCGTAAGATCCAGAGCTCTGTCCGAATGTTGCCTATCTAATGTGTAAACTCGGCCAGTGGCAGGTGGCACAACAGGTGCCTCTGTAGGTGGAGCAGGAATCATCTGAAGAGGGGCCGCCTGAACTGCTGCAGCCCTAGCAACTGAAGTATAACAATCCTTGGATATATGGCCACTCTTCCCACACTTGTAACATAGCAACTCTCCAGTAGCACATCGTCCCAAATGCTCTTTTCCGCAACCTATACACTTCGGGATAATCAAGGGTCTAGCAAAGTTTTCTGCCAGAGTAGTAGACCTCTTGAATTTGTTGCACAGTTGTTTGACCTGTAGCTGCTTCCCTTTACCTTTGCATCCAAACTTTCTGTCCCTCCAGGAAGTGGAGCCACTGTTTCCCTTAGCCTCAGATTCTTTGACTTTCTTTGCCTCGTGATTCACACGAATCTTCTCGAAGTCACTGCCCTGCTGAATGCAAGTATGGAAGTCCTTAGATGTCGATCCAGCTATCCTTTCTATGCGACATACTGAAACATTTTGTATTCCTGCAGCTCGCTCCGCCTTGGAAGCGCACCTCTTGATAATGTGACCTGGCTTGCCACATCTGAAACATACATTTTGTCCTTGCCAGAAAGTACCTGTATGAGTCTTTCCACACGGGATGCACTTAAGCAGCGAGGATTCATTCCCAACTAACATCTCTCTAACTCCATTCCCACACTGCTGTGGGGATGGAGGTGGTGGCAGTGGAGGATGTTGGCCGTCATGAAAACCAATCCTCATCTCCACCAATACGACCCGTACCAGGATCATATATGCCAGTCGATTCTCCTCCAATACATCTTCAATGGATTTCCGGTTTGTCTCTCTAATGACATCCGTCATAGCCTGGTTGGCCGCCCTAGTGGCCTCATGTTCGGCTAGTCTAGCCGCCTGCAACTCAGCTAATGCAGTCAGGATAGGATCAGGTTGATCCTCGTTCGTCTCTCGGCTCCTCCGAGGTATTACCATGACTCTGCACAAGTTACACAAAGAATGAGTTGATCAGGCCCACGCGATGTGGTCACTCATGCATCATCATAGTAAAACCCAAAAGAGAGAGCACACAAGACAGACACACAACAAAACATCCTAAGTTATTGCAATACATACAGGCTTCTTCCCTAGAAAGTGCTTTGATACCATAAAATGTAACACCCCGTGTATACCCGATTTGTTATCATGTCATTGTATTAAGCCACGCTTAATTAAATGTGCAGAATAACTTTTTCTTTCAATTATGACGTCATTAATATTACCAAGTTGATTACTTAATCCTTTTTCAAAACATTGCCCGTATGTAAATTGCAATAAATCTAAGTACACTGAATAACCTCAATATATAAATAACGGTGAGTATCTAAGTCACGGATCTACAACACGTAGTCCGGACACAATCCTGAAACATTAATACAACTCGAATCCAAATAAGACATAGTTAATCAATGTGGCATGGACAACCCTCATGCTCACCAAATAAGGCAACAAAGCCCAACAGAGTCTCAACAACAACAAAATCATAATAATAATCATAAAGCTTGTCAGCATCCAACATATCATCATAACAACAGATATCTAACTCAACTTCGGCCTCCTGCCGCCCGAGGTCTCAACCCCCGAGTTACCTGAACCTGAAATATGTGCCCCAAATGTGGGGTGAGATCTCTAAATAGAAATCTCAGTAAGGCAAGGGGTCCTCAAGGATTTCTCCACCCCAAGCTCACTTACATGTGCAATATAAGTTCCAAAAGAAGTAACATACTATAAGTTCCAAATCAGTGCAATGCAACAGAATAAATCATGTCATGTGTGTCAACTATTCTACTGGCCAGAGAAATGCAGGACTTAAATACGTCTATTGCCTACATTCACTGCAAGTACTACTTACACCCACCCACAGAATCACCCTATGGCATGTCTACTACATAAACAGGTTTACCGTCTAGGTGGAACAAAACATGCATATTATAAGCACTTGCACATAACAGCTCAACAGCATTTCAAAATCAATACATGAAAACACATCATGCATATAAACCATCCTCCACGGGGTATGGTGGAACCAACAATGGCTAAACCGAGGACACGAAAGCTTACCTCTCAAGCTATCCGTCCAAACCAAGAGTCCACACTAGTCCAAGGTCACCAAACAACACAATCATAGTCTATTTATATCAGAAATATCATCAATAACCATACTTTAAAGGTTCATTTCATTAAGACAACATTTCCTTTTTCGTTTATATCTTTTCTAGTTCACAATTATCAAGCATTAAGTCCCTCAATTAAAGGTATAACTGTTTCCCAAAAGTAACACAAACTTCCTAGGACATCATGCCCAAATGAGGACTTTCTCACGCATTAAAACTGGTTTCCGGTTATTTTCACATAGGGTAATCGATTACCAAACACTTGGTAATCGATTACTGCACATGGTAACCGATTACCCAAAACAGGGTAATCGATTACTGCACATGGTAATCGATTACCAAGTGAAAAGTAATCGATTACCACGCGGGCAGAGCAGCAAACTGCAAAATTTTTCTGCATAAACTGAAGTGCAAATAGCTCCCATTGATCCAAGGTTAGTTTTGTCCCAAAACAGATGTTCATTATCACTTATTAACCCTAGATTAACAACCCAAAGCTTGAATGATTAAAGTTATCTCTTTTCATGACACAAACAAACTATTTTCATGAAATTTCGAAGGGAATGTTCAAGGTATACCTATGGGGTCTCAAACTTAGCAGAAAAAGGTGCTCATGGAGCTCTCAAATCTGTCCCAAGAAGTCAAATTACACAAGCCACGAAATGGTGACCAAAGCTTGGTCCTTTCTCAACCAAAATGGCACCTTGAAGCTTCAAATGGCATGGAGATGACTCCCACACCACACAACCTCAAATTCAGCAGCTCTCTCACTCACCACAAGACCCACAACTTAGAAATGGCTGGACTTTTACCCACTCATGGTTAGAGCACACTCATACAAGGAACTTTAGTGAAGAAAGTATGGGGAAAAGGTGCTCTCTTTGAGCTTTAATGGAAAAGAGAAGGTGGAGGAAGGAGGCTGCCTCAAGAACTCAGAAAATGTCACATAGGAGATGAAATTTATGACCTAGGATCATGTGCCCCTTGTATTTATAAGCGCGCTTAAGTTTAATCGCGCAGTATTAGCATTAATAGCTACGCTTATCATTTTAATCTCAAACTTCATATTCTGAACCTAGCCATTTTTCTAAGATTTGTCATATTTTTATTTTTATTTTTCGCAACACTTTTTTAGTACGAGTTTTCACGCTGTCAGTATTAGTTCTGACATCAATTCTCATTATTTTGACTCCAAACTTGTTATAATAGTCCTATATAATATTCTAGTAATATATACACACTTTTCATAATTTTTCGGGATACTTCATCGGTACGCATTTATACCGTGAGGCAGAACCGGTATTTGCACTTTTCGTCAGAAGAGAGACTTTCAATATTATTAAGCACTTACTATAATTATTTAAGTCTTCTAATAATTATTAGGGTCAATTATGGAATTATCTCATTAATCTCATAATTAATTAATTAAATTCCTGAATTAACTGCGGGTTCTTACAGGGGTGGGTACATGCAAAGCACTCTGATACTCAAGTCAATATTTGAATGATGAGCTTAAGTAAATTAGAAGAAGATGATCATATATGAACTTTGAGCGTCTCCTTCATAGTTGTTGTATGACCTACTTATGTCGTCTTAATATGATGATACACATTCTTATTGGTGAATTGTGGTGGCATTGTCAGCCTATTATATCCGTGGAATGCCTTTGGTGAGCTATGACGCATGAGTTTAACTGTAATCTAGTGCATGTTCCTCGGCCTTTGGCTATTAAGAAGGTTCATGAGTTCTGAATTGCTATTAGTCTAGTTGCGTGTTTGCAGGATTGCGGATACGTGATATGCATGCTCCCTAATTGACTAAGGGCCCGTTTGGATGAGCTTTTTTTTCTTCAAAAGCTGCTTTTTTTCAAGAAAAAAAGTACTTTTCGTTTTTAGTTCGTTTGGATATCTTTTTTTTAAAAAAGGAGAAGTCACAAAAAAGTCAAAAACTTACTTTTTTCCGAAGCTAAAAATTTTAACTTCTAAAAAAAGCAGAAGTCAAAAATCAAATATTTTTTTCAAAAACTAAATATTTTTATAAAAATATAAATAGTTTAAACTTTTGTAAAAAGTACTTTTAAAATAAGGAAATGATAAAAGTTACTTTTTCTAGAAGGTGAAACAAACGACCTCTAAGTCTTTGTTTTTTAGCCTTTTGAACTATTACTAGACTGGATCCTTCATCCAATTTAATATGGGTCCTATTCAAGAATAAAGGCAATAATTGAAAAGATACTACTAATCTATTTTTTTTTTTTTTTAAAAAGACACCACAGGAAATAATGGTAAAGCTTAATTATATATAATCGCTGAATATAAATTTTATTTTATCTGAATATATGTATAATCACTGGATGTACAAATTTCATAAACAGATAACCATACATACAATTAAACCAACTCAATAGTATAAAATTGTTTTTTAGAATGTTTACTTTTTAGATTTACAAGAGGGTCATGATTCAAAATAATCCTCTTGACACACTCCTTCAAACCTGGTTCGAGTTGTACCATGCAGCGAGATATTGCAATAATCAAAAAATTTCCAAAATGAGAAACACCCAACTCCGTGACCAAAAATATAGCATTCTTAAATAGTCAAATGCAAATTAATGAAATTGAACACCAACCTATCAGCATTTTTGCAACTTTTTTTTTTTTTTTTTTTTTGGGTCCTTCTTTGCTCTAAAGAACCACTTGAATAAGCAAGCACAACAAGTACATACAAAATTTGTCAGTGTATTAAACACTCAACCCCGCAGTGAACGTTACACCAGTTGAAGGTAACCAAAGATTCCCCTCAATAAATTGGGACACAGTGAAGTTACTAGCCTGCCTAGAATCATTCATCACATGGAACCCTGGCCATTTCACCCGGTTAACTAGTCCAGCTCCTGGCCCATAATTCATGTACTCTGCATAGTACAATGTGTCCAAAGCAAAGTCCCCATTCCACTCTAACCACCCTTCTGGCCTTAACACATTGCTTATGTAAGATTGCATGAAAATTGTTCTTGAATATGGCTTCCATGGTCTGCCAAGGTATGTTTGTGTGGAGTTAACTGAGTTAACAAGGTCAGAATCAGCAGAGATGTTGCAGAATTGCATGGAGAAACCAGTTGGTTCATCAGGGTCTTTTCTCCCTTGAGCTGTGATGGTGTTCTTTTGATTTGGTAACCCTTTCTTAGCAAGTATTTGGCAGTTTTGGAAAATAGCAGTGGCATCTCCAAATATGAAATCCACTGTGCCACTTATTTTGCATTCTCTATAGAATTGGCGCATGGTGTGTGCATAGAGGCTATCTTGGTAACCAAAAATACCACATCGGTAGAATACAGAGAGGTCAGAGTCTGATCTTAGTGCCACTGCTTGATGCTTCTCGGGCCCAGCAGTGTTCTGGAAGGTAATGTCTCGTGCTATGAATCCTCTCCCACTCACAGCTGCACATGCGACCAAATTAAAAAAATAAAATAATCAAATACATAAATAAAGCAAAGATGAGAATTGGGTCAGAGATTTCAGCTGTTGAAGAAGACAAGTGCTTTAGACCTTATGAATGTTATAATTGCAGCACATGCTCAATTATTTTTCTTTATAAGTAGGTTGCAGACAGACATGGATTATGTTATGTTAGTTAACGTTTAAATAACAATGCTTTATTGCTATCGAAAGTACATGGATTAGTTGCCGGTTAGAACTGTTTTGGGCAATTGCATTGATTAATCATGTTGTCAGTGTTTGGCTTCATAAGTTGTTTAATAAATAAGATAGGATTGGGTAATAAATCTTGTTTGCTCATACACATACACAATAGAGGGTACACATTACTTACCCTTAGGAATTAGGGTCCACTTTTGATCTCAAATAGCGCTTCAGACCCAATTAAAATTTTCCACATATTATTAAGATTAGAGTAAATCCATTGGATTACTCTTTTAATTAAGAAAAAGATTTATCTTTTTTGTATAACTACATTTTTTTTTAATTAATAACTATTATTATTATTAACGACTTTTTAAGATGAAAAATAAAATTTGACGAGAAAATAAAAAAAAAAAAAAAAGAGAGAAAGAGGAGCGAGTCCTTACCAAAAGTAGCTGACCGGAATGTGGTCCAACCGTCGATGAAACTCCGGTTACCGGAGATAACAGTGGCATCCATGCCATCTCCAATCATCATAAGGTTCCACTTCTTCTTCTTGATCTCAACATTCTCCATGTAAACACCCCTCTTTATGTATATCACATAGCGTTTCATGCTATAGTCAGGTGCTGCTAACACAGCATCCCTCACCTTAGTAAAATTCCCAGTCCCATCAGCGGCTACAACAGCATCCACATGCACCCCATTTTCTTGCAGTAGCTTCCTGTTCCTTGGTTTAATCCACGAAGGAAAATGACCCTGCTTGGTGGAGAAAGAGAAGTGATCCGAAACAGGGTTCACTTGGGTAAGTAACTCCTGAAGCAATGAAATCATTTGGCCAAGGCCAGTTGATACTAGACCCTTCACAATCCCACTTGTACCTTCGAATCCATCCATGCATGTCTCTGGATTCGCAAGTGCAGCACTTAGCCATGTCCTCAAATCAGAGCTTAGGTTCCCAGTACTATTATGCTTCCCTACAAGTAACAATACCCAATTTTATTTTATAACATATAGTCTCTTTAATAGGGAAATGGTAAGTCACAAGTGGACAAAAATTTGAGTTGAAATCCAAGTTACATTTCATCCCAAAATCTTAAAACTTATATTAATAGTAGGTTCATGAATTACTCGACTAGTTTAATTCGAGTTAGGGAGGATTATATGAGCAGCAAAACTCGTTTCCAAAAACTTGAACTCAAGACTATTGGTTAAACTGGAACAATCGAGTTGATGTATGTGTTTGATGATATTAACCACTCATATTTGAATTCACAACTACTCAACATACTTAGACCAATATTTTATGAAGACAAAGTTTAAGATAGGAAAATGGGATGTTATTGTGGTTGAGATTGTTTTGAAGGAAAATGCCAAACAAAGTGGGAACCAAGAGAGACAAATGGTACCTTTGGGAGTTTGGGTAGCGGAAGCAGACCAATCGAGTTCATCAGAGGAGAGGTCAAGCAAATCGAGGCAATCAGAAACGGCGTTAGAGAGACGAAAATCGCCGAAGCCAGTGCCGAACTCAGAGAGAATGGCGGTGACATCTTGCAAAACGTCAAGAACAGCTCTCACTGAACCAACGAATGCAGAAGGAGAAACCTTAAGACACTCTGATCCCACGATGTAGTCAATGGGCGAAGCAGCAGAGAGGCTGAGAAACAAGACGGAGAAGAAGATGAATGTGAAAGAGGTGGTGGAAGTTGGAGATAATAACTCTTTTGTTGAAGAAAGAGCCATTGAGAAAAGAACTGAATTAGTAGAGGTCATACACACTTAAGCGAGTTGCATATATTTAAAGGGAAAGAGTGGGAAATAAAGATTAGAATGTATTGGTTAGCTGGGCAGGTAGGGGAATTTAAGGGAAACTCATCTGTACTTTTTTTTTTGGAAAAATAAAATAAAAAAAAACTTGCTTACAATAAATTCATGGTGAAAATCTAGAGGATGTTAAACAGAATTTAAGAGGGATGGAGGGAAGGTCAGCCTTGTGACTCAGCCTCTCTGAACGTAAGGTCGTGAAAAGGGGATACACGGGAATGGATGTTCTATATCATGAGTTCTCCGCTTTATCACGCGAAAAATATATATCTATTTTCTTTCTAAGTAAACATTAAATAGATAAGGTTCATGAAAATATATAATAAAAAATAAATATCAAATTTTTAAATTGTAAAATAATGTAAAAATTAATATGGTATGTGATAAATTTTTGATACCACTGTTGTACCCAAGTGGGTACAACATTTTGCCAATTTTGAAAAAAAGTACAATGTGATGGAATTTTTTTTTTTTGAAAAATGTTAACTTTTTTTTTTAAAAAGTGAATAAATGTTGTATCCACTATCCACTTGGGTATAATAGTAATACCAAGAAAATGTATAACCGGCTGCAATTGTAATGTATATTTTTCTTTGTAAATTATAATTATTTAATTACAATAAAAACAAAAATAATATTCATAATTAAAGACTTTTAAATTTTGAGTAGAATGGGATCATTATTTATATATTTATATGATAAAAAAAATCAGAAGTTGTGCTCAACTAAAAGATAGTATGAACTTGAAGGGAGATAATATATTGTCCACCTTAACATCTTCCTTATTCCACCACTCGTTATAGAGCACGTTTAGATTTTATTTTATTTTCAAAAGCGTTTTTTTCTAAAAAAAAAAAAAGCCTTTTCCATTATAATAAAATGTAAAAATCTACTTTTTTTTTTTTTAATCTAAAATTTTTAGCTAATAAAAATAATAAAAGTTAAAAGCTAATTTTTTTTTAAAACCAAATGTATCTCAATCCCAACCGATCTTACCTCATCATCATTTCCGTCATTGTCACCACCACCATTGTTGTTGTCACTTTTGCCAACACCACATCAATCTCAACTCCAACCAATGTCATCACCACCACTGCCACTACCCCACACCCCGCCAACACTATCACTACTTCGTCGTCACCGATACCACATCTATTATCATTGCCACTGCTACCCTCTTGCCACTGTCAGTATCCCTGCCACCATTACCATCTTCGTTATAACTAAATTTGCTTCTACGATTTGTTTTAATATATCCTTTTTAGTATTTTTATACAATTTTCATTTTAATATCCAAATAATATATTTAGTTAAAGTGCTTTTTACATATTACATCCAAATGCAAAATGGCTTGAAAAATATCTTTATAAAATAAGCAAGTCATTTTTTAAAAAATTCATCTAAACAAGTCCTTAATACAGTTTAAAAAAAAATTAACATAATTGAAAAATCATTCACCAAAAAATGTATAATTGAATTTCTTTACCATTTTGACCATGTTGGCCCTACTAATATGACACGTATCATGTTTATTAGGTTGATATAGGCAAAAATAATAAAAAATACTCTATCTTTATCATTTTAATAAGTAGTTCTCAAACTATGCTGTTTTTATTCTTTTTTGTATAAATGCTGTTTTTATTTTTTTAACTATACTATATTTATCAATTAGCCGAGAAAGCATTGAGTGTCTATTGTCAAATTTCAGAAGTGTGGACGGTCTGCAAGTTTGCAATGTGTATGTCACTCTCTTTGTGAACAAATCTGGAGGGCATCTCGTCCTTTGCGGCCATCCCCCACAGTGACTGCTACAGTTTTTGCCAAATCAATTTTGCCAACTTTTTGAACTTTCTCTCTTGTGATCTTTACGAATCACGATCTCTTTTACTCTTGACAACGTGACTCATCAAAGAAAAATTTCCGCCGTATAGTCGTATACCAGTTTTCTTTTTTTGGGTGCATGTAAACCATGTTATATATTCTACCATAGGAAATAAAGAGTTTTTTTATTTAATTTATTTAAAAAATAAAAAATAAAACATACACACACTCACACTCACACTCACACACATAGGACCCATGCTTGCCGGTGTTTATTGAAATTAGGCAAAGTATGGCAGGGTCTTGTTTTTCACATTCTTTTCCGACACCAGTCATGGGAGGCAGGCCATGATTCACCCATATATGGTTTCAGTATGTTTAGTAATAAATGGAAAGCTGAAATATTCAATTATATATAGTTGGTGTTAAATTGTTAACATGAATAAGATATGCATTAAAAGTCAAAATTATTCAAGTCTTTTAATCTGATTTACATCTGTCTAAGTAAAGCTATTTATTATTATGCAACTTAGATGACAAGTTTCAACATAGTTGTCTATGAATTTTACAGGGGAAAAAATAGGTTTTAAGTAGAGCTAGTTAAATTTAAAACCAGGCACATCAGTATTGAAAGAGATGAGTGAATAACTTCAATGTGATCATTGTTACGGATATAATTTTTTATCATTGTTTTTTTTTTTCCCCTTTGGAGTTAATATTATTGAGTTTGGACATCGCGCAATGTGATCAACTCATGTGTCGTAGGTGGATAAATTTGATGGTAAAAGAAGCATCAGTATGTGGCGTAAGAAAATGAAAACTATGTTAGTACATCAAAAGTGTGCTAAGGCCATTGCACGTGAGAAAGACTTGCCCCCTATCAAATGTTGAAAAAACTAACATGCTTGAATCTATAGATTTTATATTTATCTCATTGTATTCTGGGGCAATTTGATGATGAATATACTAGTGGTGCTTTTTGGCTAAAATTAAAATCTCCATATACGATTAAGTCTTTGTTAAATAAGATTTATTTGAACGAAAAATATTGGTTGGCTTTAAAATAGATTCAAGTAGGTATTCAATGATAATCTAGATAAATTCAAGAAAATAATTATTAATATTGATGAAAAAATTTCTAAAGAAAACCAAACAATTATTTTGTTAAATATATCGTGTAATAACTCGAATAATTAAATTATGCTAATGAGAATTAACGAGTAATTAAGAAACTAAAATTAGGAGAAAAATTTAATTTTGAACTAAGTCACCTTTTGGGGTAAAAGTACAAATATTAAAAGTTTTGGGACAAAAGTACAACCATTCAAAATTTAGAAAGATCCTAAAGTTAATCATGTGGTACACTTTGCCTAAACCCAATTAACCAAAAATGATGAGTTAAGTGAACTAGGTGAATAAAGATGAGATAGGAAAAATGAGAAGGGCAAGATAGTCATTTACAATGAAGATATTTTCTTTAATCAAATACCCACTCTCAATCTCTCATTCTTCTTCTTTTTTCATTTCCCTATTTCTGTCATACTGTCACCATTTCTTTCCAAAGGAAAATGTAATATCCCAGTTTCGAGCCGATTCAATTATTATACATATGATATTAAACAGAAAAGCGGAAGACTTAACTTACGAAAATACGAGCTAACTTTTTCTTTTTCTTTAATCATTTTTCACATGATATATCACATTGCATACTTCTTCTAGTTTAATTCTTATTTGACGGAGACGAAAATCGGACACAGTAACCTCTGTACATCGAAGAACTGGAGATTTGCATATTCCACTCTCAAGGTATCCTGATAGACAGTTTATATAATATATACTTTCAGAAATACCATATATCCATATAGGACCATATACCCATTCATGGGCGCATACATAACTTGGCTCCGTGCCACTATGTCTAACACCATGCATATCCAACATGTAATCATATAACTGAATACTACATCATAATATAGACCTGCCTGAATACCCAAATGCACATGCATCAAAGCGAAAAACATGTACAAAACATATACAGGCCATATACAGAATAACAGATCAGACATCATGATCCTCAAAACGAATGGACTACTGAAACAAATAAACAATCCTCAAAATAATAGTAGCATATTGCTACCCAAAATCCATTCTGCGAAGCACTCTATCCACGGGTTGTATCTATGCCCCGTGAAGGCTCACCGAGAATCTGTGCACCTGAAATAATGTCCCCCAAACGGGGTGAGATAACAAATCTCAGTAAGCTCCAGGTTTATAGAGAATTCTACATACCCCTAGGCCCATTCCTGCATTAAAGCCAGATACAGAGTATACAAGCATCATATAACATATATCATAACTGAACGAAGCATATATACATATCTTATCAAGGCGTACACAGTCATTCCCAAGGGAGGACCCCAAGCAAAAATCAATGCACGTGTTCCCAAGGGAGGACCCCAAGTGAAAATCAACGCACGTGTTCCCAAGGGAAGACCCCAAGCGGAACCAGAACATATCAGAGGTGTACACAGTTAGTCCCGAGGGAGGACCCCAAGCAGACATCAGTGCACAAACAAATCAGTGACCAAAATTCATTACGGAAATCACATCAGAACAAATCATATCATGTGATCAAATAGCTCTATATGAATGCATCTATACAAAGCATCAAATACAATCATACAATCCAACCATAGTTCACTAACCATGGTGGAGCACTCAAGTAGGGAAAAAACTCCTTAAATATAGAGCTTACTTTTTGAAGCTTTACAATTTGCTTACTTGAAGAACAAGTTATTTATCTTGCTCCCGAGATTCCAAACGTTCACAGTCCTTAGGCACACCTTGAGAAGGAATTCAACACAAAACTCAATAAAATGATATAATGCCATGTAAATATACAAGACACACACTTTATTGTTTACTTTCTTTTTACTTAATCATATTAGGCCATGAGTGGGTGGTTCTTTGTTCAACAAATTTCCACATATTCACTTAGTCTTTAGGATAGTCTCAAAAGACCTTTAGAATACTCATTACTCCTCTTAGCACCTAAAAGCCTATTTTTTTCAATTTAAGGCAAAGTGCCCATTACAAAAGAGCTATAAGATTTCTCTTTTTCTAGTGCCTAAACCCAAGCTTAGCCACTTATATAAATTATTTTATGCATAAAAGTGTTCTCACTTGGCG